GTCACCCTGGGGTCTGGGGCCGGCGGAAGACGGGGAGGGGCAGAGAGGTGAGTGGGGTCGGAGCTCCAGGATGGGGCCGAGCCAAAGCCTGGGCGGCGGTGGCCCCTGGGACATCTTGGGGCTCTGGATCTGGAAAGAGCTTCTGCCATCTTCCTCTTCTTTCTCTTCAATCTTTTTTTAAAACTAAACCTTTTATTTTGAGATAACTGCAGATTGACATATATCTTCTCAACTTTTTATATAGAAAAATTTCAGACCTTCAGAAAAGCTATAGGAATGATACAGTGACACCTATATACCCCTCACCTGCATTCACTAATTCATATCTGATGGAGTTCACAGTTTTTAATCTATTATCCATCACCATTGAGATACACACATACATAAATATGGAAATATGGACATACTCTATTTCCTAAGAAATATATTTCTAAAAACTATTTTTTAAAAGATTTTATTTATTTATTTATTTTTAGAGAGAAGGGAAGGGAGGGAGGGAGAGAGGGAGAGAAACATTGATGTGTGAGAGATACACCAATTGGTTGCCTCTCGCATGCTCTCAATCAGGGCCTGGCCCACAACCCAGGCATCTGCCCTGATTGGAGATCAAACTGGAGACCCTTCCATTTGCAGGCTGGCACTCAGGCCACTGAGCCACACCAGCCAGGGCTAAAACTTCTATATATATATATATACACACACACATAATGAGTTCATATATAAACTGAATATATATAAATTGAGCATATAATGTTTACATAAGGAGTGCATATGTATTTTTTGTTCATGCTCTCTCTCTAGCTTTGTCTGCAGAGATGGTCTAGGAGCAACAACACCTGCATGGATAGTACTAAGCACCCATAGCACCAGCTCAATTCTAGTCCTGAAGCACCATCTTCCATTAGAAATACCATCCTCTGACTTCCGGCCAAGATGAAGGCATAGGTAGACACACTGTGCCTCCTCGCACAACCAAAATAAGGACAACAACAATTTAGAAACAAACAAAAAAATGACCAGAACTGACAGAAAATTGAACTGTACAGAAGTCTGACAACCAAGGAGTTAAAATAGACACATTCATCCAGACTGGTAAGAGGGGTGGAGTCAGAGATGGGGCAGAGAGGGTTCAAGGCAAAAAAAAAAGCTGTGGTTTGCGGAACTCGGGTGCACAGGCAGCAGCTGACAAACTCTGGGCATGCAAGACAGCAATGGGCAGACACTAGGAGCACAGGTGGCAGCTAGCAGACCCCTGAGTGAGGCACGCAAGGCGGCTGGCTGACCAGGTGGTCCCACATTCGTGTGCAGATAAACCAGGCAAAACTGGGGAGAGAGACAGGCCTTGCAACCCAGGGCCCCAGCACAGGGAAATAAAGCCTCGAAATATATCTGTGGGGATTGAGGCAGCGGGAAAGACTCCAAGCCTCATAGGAGAGTTTGTTGGAGAGACCCACAGGGTCCTGGATGGTACACAAGCCCACCCACCTGGGAATCAGCACCAGAAGGGCCCAGTTTGCTTGGGGGAAGAGGGGATAGGGACTGAAATCCAGCAGAGAGCAGAGCAAGCACCATTGTTTCCTCTCTGACCCCACCCCCACATACAGCATCACAACCCAGTGACTGAGTTGCCCCACCCTGGTGAACACCTAAGGCTTTGCCCCTCATATGCAACAGGTGCAACAAGACAAAAAAAAATTGAAAGAACAGATCAGAGCTCCAAAACAAATAAAACTAAGCAATGAAGAGGTAGCCAACCTATCAGATGCACAGTTCAAAGCGCTGGTGATCAGGATGCTCACAGAACTGGTTGATTTTGGTCACAAATTAGATGAAAAAATGAAGGCTACACTAAGTGAAGTGAAGCAAAATGCACAGGGAACCAATAGTGATGGAAAGGAAACTGGGAGTCAAATCAATGGAGTGGACCAGAAGGAAGAAAGAAACAACCAAACAGAAAAGAAGGAAGAAGCAAGAATTCAAAAACATGAGGAGAGGCTTAGGAACCTCCAGGACATCTTTAAACATTCCAACATCTGAATTATAGGGGTACCAGAAGGTGAAGAGGAAGAGCAACAAGTGGAAAACTTATATGAACAAATAATAAAGGAGAACTTCCCCAATCTGGCAAAGGAAACAGACTTCCAGGAAGTCCAGGAAGCTCAGAGAGTCCCAAAGAAGTTGGACCCAAGGAGGAACACACCAAGACACATCATCATTACATTACCCAAGATTAAAATGAAGGAGAGAATCCTAGAAGCAGCAAGAGATAAGGAGACAGTCACCTACAAAGGAGTTCCCATCAGACTGTCAGCAGATTTCTCAAAAGAGACCTTACAGGCAAGAAGGGGCTGGAAAGAAGTATTCCAGGTCATGAAAGGCAAGGACCTACATCCAAGATTGCTCTCTCCAGCAAAGCTTTCATTTAGAATGGAAGGGCAGATAAAGTGCTTCTCAGATAAGGTCAAGTTAAAGGAGTTCATTATTACCAAGCCCTTATTTTATGAAATGTTAGAGGGATTTATCTAAGAAAAAGAAGATAAAAAACATGTACAGCAAAATGACAGCAAACTCATAATTATTAACAACTAGACCTAAAACAAAAGCAAAAGCAAACTAAGCAAACAACTAGAACAGGAATAGAACCACAGAAATGGAGAACACATGGAGGGTTAGCAACAGGGGAGTAGAAGGAGGAGAGGGGGAAAAGGTACAGAGAATAGGTAGCATAGATGGAAGGTAGAAAATAGGGGGAGGGCAAGAATAGTATGGGAAATGTAGAAGCTGAAGAACTTATGACACATGGACATGAACTAAAGGGGGGAATATGGGTGGGAGAGGGTGTGCAGGGTGGAGGGGAATGAGAGGGGGAAATGGGACAACTGTAATAGCATAATCAATAAAACACATTTTAAAAAAAGAAATACCATCCTCCATCTCTTTAGAGAGATGGCCGATTCCAGGGCTGGAGCAGAAAAAGTCCCGGGTGAGCCCGGAACATGTTGTCAGAAAGTTAGCAAAAATGCAGGGAACAACGAGGATTTGTCAAAAGGACAAGGAGGTGGCTCAAAGGGGGTCCCACTGGCCAAAACTGGGACAATTTAAGCATCAGAAACACAACGATAATAATGAATTGTTACCCACCGACTAAAATAGGAAAGCATGATTAACCATATTGACATAAATGAAGGAGGAAAAACTTTGCTACAGGAAAAATTAATCTTGCTTCGCACTGATCCATCTAATTTCCACTGAACACTGCAGGGCCTCTTGCTGTCCCCTCGGGCGGAGTCTCCTGTCTTCCCCCGAGAAAACAGTGCCCCATGTTTATCGCTTACCCCAACAGTCACACAACAGTGTCAGGACCGCCACCCAGATGCACAGTTTGTAACAAACCCCAAAGGAAAGGTCCAGGTTCACCTGCAGGTCTTTCTGACCTTGGCTCTCTGTTGCTGGGAAGGAGGAGCCACAGCTCTGAGTTGGGCTCTGATAGACGGATGGGGGTCCGTCTGCAGGAAGAGAGGGAGAGGCCCCAAGTGGATGGACCTGCAAGTGCAAAGCCTGAAGAGTGATATAAAAGTGCGGTGTGTCCCCCTGCGGGGGCTGAGCCAGGTTTGTTTAGTGGGAAGGTAAGTAACAACATGTGGCCCCAGCTGCCATCCTGCATCCCGCCGTGTGCACACTTATTCTCAGCTGGCCTGCCCAACACTCCCTGAGCACCAGGTCAGGCTTCCCCGTCCCCACGCAGCCCTGTTTCCCCCACAACAGGATGGAAGAAAGTATTCTGAGCCAGGAGAGCACATTGGTGGGAAAGGAACTGCTTGTAGGAAGAAGAAAGTGGTTCACAGAACAGCTTCAGCAGATGATAAAAATCTTCAGTTGTCCTTACAGAAGCGAGGAGTGAGCAATATCTCTGGTAGTGAAGAGGTAAATATATTCACAAATGAAGGACCGGTGATTGACTTCAACAACCCTAGAGTTCACACACCTCCGGCAGTGGACACTTTCGCCACCGCGGTCACCCCACCTGGTGCACACAGCCTGGCCCCTCGATGGAGACTGGCCAGCTTGGCCCAAGCACCCTGTGGACAGAAAAGTACCACTTGCTACAGGAGAGGAGGAAGATGAAGTTCCCGCTCTTCAGGAGAGTTTTGAAGAGGTTTCTAAAAATAAAGCAAACTTGGAGTCAACTTCTGAAGAGGATAAACTCGAAGAAGTTACTGAGATTTGCTATTTTATATTATTTATATTCAAATTCCGTTCATGGATCTGACAAAATCTAGCTCCCTGATATTTTTAAGCCATAGTCCCTTGCCCACTGTAGCTCTTTTCAGGTTTTGCTTACACACAAGCCATCCTTTGCAGCTAATTAAGCTGAAGAAGCCTGGGGATAAAGTTTGAAAAAAAGATTAATAAAGTTTTTTGCCTGGTACAGTTTTTTAAATTTCATGGACATTGATTTGTACACAGAAAGCAAAGCTGTTTGCAGAAAACTAATCATGGCATGGAATGTGACAGATAATCTTTAATGGGATTTTATTATTAAAGACTTAACGTGATAGTATAATGTAAAAAAAAAAAAAGAAGCAAATGTGAGTCTGGACAGGTGTGTGGGGTAGTGGCTTGGCAGGGCCTTGAATGCCAGGAAACAAGTCTGGGGTTGAGGTAGTAAGCACTGGGAAGTCATGGGAGGCACTGGAGCTTAGCAAATGTGGCAGACAGAGTGGCTAAGCGGTGGGGATGGCTGGGCCCACAGTGCCTGAGCACCAGGATGGCCTTGCAGCATTCTCCCCAGGAGACTTCAGCTTCACCGTCTACAACGTGGGTACAAGGAGAGAGACCCATTCCCGGGGCTGCTGGAGACTCCCCAAGAGCCACACCTGCCTCAGGGGCTAAGGTAAGGGTGGGCCATCTCTCCGCCTTCCCGCCCTCCCACCCCAGCCACCCAGCTCTGTGACATATCTGTGCTTCCTGTTTCCCCGTCAGGGGCACTTTCAGTCTCAGCTTCAAAAGAACAAACACATTCTCAAAACAAAGGAAGACAGCCCTGACTGCAGAGGAAGCAGGAAGCTGCCAGCCCTGCTCTGAACTGGGCTGCTGGGCTCCCAGGCAGCAGAATGGAGTCGGTGGCCCTGTACAGCTTCCAGGCCACAGAGAGCGATGAACTGGCCTTCAACAAGGGGGACACACTCAAGGTAGGATGGCCAGAGTGGGCTGAGTGGGCCCACGAGGGATGGGGAGGTTAAGAACCTGGGGCCCAGGACAGCGCCCCAAAAAAGTACCGTGTGTGGAGGAAGAAGGGTAGCTTCTCCAGTCACCAGCTGTGTGACTCAGGACAAGCCGCCTCTTCTCTGCAAGCCACAGTTCCCCCCTCTAGGAAATGGGGAGGTCTTTAATGGGCTCTCCTTTGAGGGCCAGTGTGAGGATTTGAGGAGACATGAGTACAGCGCCTAGCAGGAGTTGGTTCAACGCCCAGTTTTCCGGGGAAGAATTTAAGAAGACAGTAGTTGAAATGACAGAGAGACAGAGAGAGAGAGAGGTTGGGGGAGGGAGAGAAGGAGGAAAGAGGAAGTTCTTAGGAAAGTAAAAAGTACACACATTAAGCTATCAGGGTGAAAATAGCTGTGATTTAAGTGTCAGAAATGAGCTTCCCAGCATAATGGAGAAAAGGGAAAAGAGTCAGTCCTACCATCACTTCTTTCTGTTTGTTCAGGCTTTCAAAATGAGCGTTGCAGCCTTCCAAGGGAGGTCCAGGCAGAAGGGTTTATGGGGTCTCTCTCCCTGGAAAGGTCTTTGCTTGCAAGTTTGCCAAGGAGCTGGATTCAGGAGTGACCATGCCAAGACAGGCACTGGAGCTGCCTCAAGCTGAGAAAGTAACTGCCCCCCTGGGCTTGAGTCTGCACAGCAGCAATGGGCCTTTGATGGGATCCCCCCCCATTACTGCAAAGGGGACTGGCCTGGATCAGGGCTGCCAGGGGCCAGCTGCTGTGTGTGGACTTTTGATTTCCTGCAGGAAAGATTTCACAACACGAGTCCAAGTGACTATGGGGGTGCATTTATTAAAGCTGGGGACAGTGAAACACCAAAGAGCCTTACACAGAAGAAGCAACAGGAGAGCCCAGGCTGGGCTGCCTGAGCTCCCTGGGAAGCCAGAGAAAAGGGGGCTTTGGGGACAGGCTTAGGGGGTCAGCCTGGGATGAGCTGCCAGCTGCCCATTGCCTTAGAGTTTAGGAGAATTTTAAGATTTTAATTTTATTTTTACAGAGAGGAGGAGGGAGGGAAAAAGAAAGAGAAATGTCAGTGCCTGTCATATGCGTCCCACCAGGGACCAAACCTGCAACCCAGGCATGTGACCAACCGGGAATCAAATGTGCAACTGTTCACTTTGCAGGACAACACCCACAGGTTGGGGCTTATCTCTCTCCTGCAGGTGGGACCCTAGAAGGGGTCTCAGGGGAGGGACTCAGCAGAATATGCATCAGTTCTCCAGGTATACCCTTTCAGGGTCCTGGTCTTTACTGATGGGTCAGTGACCAGGTAGGGAGTCATTAGTCATGGCAGCTGGTCCTGGCATTGCCCACCTGGTTTTGCAGCTTTTCTGGGCCCGGAGCTGAAATACAATTGAGGCCTAGGTGTTGTCTCCAGGGAGGTGACCTCGTGTATCAGCTGTAATTGCTCAGCCACTGTGTTCAGCGCTCTGCCTCAGTTTCGCCAGTCCACTGGCTGAAGAGTTTTCCTGGATCTTTTGTGTTCTCTCTCCCTTCCACTCTGAGCCCTGAACCCTGGGTCCTGCTCGTGGCCCAAAGCTTCAAGCACAAAAGGGACAGGAATTCCCCTTTCCTGGCACCTTGCTATGTCCAGTCCCAAACTCAGCAATGTACCTGTGTCCCATGTAAGCTGCTGCAGTGGAGAGAACTGGCAACCCCATTTTCACAGGTGGCTAAACCGAGTCACAGGGAAGTGAAATGACTTGTTTAGTATGGGGTCGAATTTGAAATGTTGTCCTTTGAGTCCGGAAACTGTTCTGTCCCCAGCGAAGCCAAATGGACTGGGCTAGGGGTCGGGGAGATTGATGTTTCCCAAAAAGAACCATGTGCCTTTAAGGAACCACCCTCCCCTTCTCTATGCCAGGATGCCTGTGTGCCCCTGGTGCGGGTACCATGGGGCCCCACGGACATGTGGGCAGAGGGAGCCGAGGGCAGGCCTAGCACCAGGACGGCCCGGGCACTGTCGTGAGAGCAAGCCTGGTTCAGAGGCCTCATTTATCCATCCGAGAGCAGTTTGGCATCTCTAAACCCAGACCTGAGGCTTGGGAGGCAGTGGAACAGGGAGGAGATAGGAATATGAAGTGAGGGTGAGTGATGGGCTCCACCTGAGGCTCCGGGTGACCGGCCAGCAGTGGGTGGGGTGGGTCAGTGAGGCTCCCACAGCAGCTGTAAAGACTGTGACACCCCCACTGCCCTCCCAGACTCCTGTGCCAGCTTTCCCACCCTGGATTTGTCTTAGTCATTTTCTACTAACCTTGCTAAGATGTTAGCCAATTCCTGGGGTGTTTGCTTTAAAAAAAATTGGTTAGAGAGAGTGTGGGGGGAGGGGGGCATGGATTTGTTGTTCCATTTATTGATGTGTTCATCGGTTGCTTCTTGTATGTGCCCTGACCAGGGATTAAACCCTCAACCTTGGTGTATTGGGGTGATGCTCCAACCAACCGAGCTACCTGGCCAGGGGATCATGCTGGAGCTGCAGAACTTAAAACAGTGCCAGCACATAGTAGGCTTTCAATATGACAAGGGAAATGTGAAGGAAAGGGAAGGAGCTAACGTGTTAGCAGAGACAAGGGTGGGGAGTGGAGGGGCTGCCCTCCCAGTGGGACTTGTACCTCATGTGGGTGAAGACCAAGGAGGGGACTTTTCAAGTTCAAACAATGACAGAGGAATGAAGGCAGTGGGAGGGGCTGCCTTTTCTCTCATTTATTCAACAAACACTTGTGGGGCTATTTTTTCCAGTTTTACTGAGATAAAACCGACATATGAGATCACATGTATTTATGGTGTATATCCTAATAATTTGGCACATGTCTGTGAAACCATCATCACAATTACTTCAGTCAGCAGCTGTCACCTTACATAGTTGTACTTTTTCTCTTGGTGGCAACTTTTGATATCTACTCTCAGCAATTTTCAGACAATACAGCATGACTAACTGTGGTCACCGTGCTGCACATGGTGTCCCCAGAACTTATTGTCCTTACAACTGAAATTTGTACCTCTGGCCCTCTTCACCCATTCCCCCTGCCCCTGCCTCTGGTAGCCTCCAATCTGTTCTCTGTTGAGTGTTGAGCACCTGCTGTTTACCAGGCACTGTTCTGAGTGCTGAGGACACAGCCACAAATAAGGCAAAGCCCTTGCCCTCCTGGAGCTGAGATTCCGAAGGGTAAGTGGCATCACAAAGTGCTGAGCAGATGGAAGAAACAACACAGAGAAATAGGACACACAGTGACCAGTGGGTTGTCCGGGCAGCCTCTCAAAAGAGGTGACCCCTGAGGGATGCGCAGGATGGCCAAGCAAACAGCCCGGAGCTCTGGGCTGGGAAGTAGCTGGTGCAAAGGCCCTGAAGCAGAACCTGCTCACAGGCGTGAGAAATTGAGAGAAAGGTCTGTGCTGAAGAGCAAGGAGTGCAGGGGAGGAGCTGAGGGTGGGCTTGGGGTAGACGGCGGCAGGATCTCGAAGGCCTGGTGTCGCTGCAAGTGGGAAGTGTGCAAGCCCACAGGAGGGCTTTGCCGGGGTGTTTTAGGGAGATGACAGAGGGGCAGGGGAGGGGCTGTTGCAGTCTCCTGGGTAAGAAATAAAGGTGGCCTAAACTAAGAAAAAAATGCCTGACAAAAATGTCAATATATTAATAATTTTGACATGGAAAGAGCTCTTATAAGTCAACAGAAAAATCATATATAAACAGCAGAATAGAAAAATGGGCAAAGGAAAACTGCCAAAGAAGCGATGTGAGCATGTGGCCAATTTCGCCATGACAAATGACACCAGATGAGAAAAACTCTATTTTTAAAAGACTCTCCAGGGTTGTCGAGGTTGTGGGAAAATGTGCACCTTTACATGTGATGGAGGGCAGGTAAAGTGACACAACCATTTTGAAGGGCCTTTGAGAAACCTAAAAAGCATTAAAGATCTCCACACCCTCCGACCCAGAATCGTGTGTCTGGGAAACCGGGACGAGCTGGGGTGTGTGTGCGTCCTCCCTGGAAGGACTCACAGGGCACACTGCATCCGTGTCCCGGTCTGGGAGATGCAGTGGGGAGAAAATGCAGTATCACTGGGGCCACGGGCCAGATAAACCAGTAAATGGAGAGCTTGTCAGCTGGAAGCAGGATGCAGAGAAAAATGGAACAAGCAAAGGAGGGGAACGTTGGTGACAGTTTGTCACATGGAATCAAGCTGGACGACCTGTTCAGCAGTGGCAAAAAATATGACACAGCCCTAAAAATGTGATTTGGGGAGCATGTTTAATGACATAAAAATGCTCATGACACAAGGTTAAGTGGCGTAAAACAGAATGCAAATGTATGTACACAGAGTCAACTCCAGACAGATAACCAACAGACATTGCTTTCGAGGAGGGAAAACTGACCCTCACGCGTGGGGCTGTGCCCAGAAACTACCTGACAACCTATTGCCGCTCCCACTCTCAAAGGCTGGGCAGGTATGCGGCCAGGTACTGCCTTTATTTCAGATTTGGGTGGATCTTCTTTGCCTTCATTTTTAAATAGATTTACTTTTTAGAAAAGTTTTAGATTTACAGAAAAATCGAGACGATAGTGCAGAGTGACACCTACCTGCACTCAGCTCCTGTCAGGAGCATCTTACATGAGTGGCTGTTACATTTGTTAAACTAAGTGTCCATGTTGAGAAATTATTATTAATTAATGACCATATTCAGAGTTTGTGTATTAATTTTTATTTTTAACATATTGTCTTAAATATAAACTTGATTTCTGAGTTTTTTTGCGCTCCCTTAAGTTTTGCTCCCGAGGCACCTTGCCCACCCGCACTACTCTGGGGCCTGCTTTCTGGTAACTATAAAAATGTGACTGTGGCCCCCCAGGGTACGGCCTGACCGCATGGCGTGTCCCTTCCCTGAGTGCTGCCTGTGGGCCAGGCCCTGTCACAGAGGTGCCCACTAGGCACCCCAGCCTCCAGGAGCCACAGTGAACAACTCTCAGCCCTGGTCCTGGAGGAAACTCAGTGGCACCTCAACCTGCACTGGAAAAATGGCCCCAGACATCACTTCCCTGAAACAAAGGCCCGCTCTCTGACAGGCTGGGCATCTCAGGGGTCATAGCACCTTGTTTCTCCTGGCTGGAGGAGGGATGTGGGTGGTGGCTTCACCCCATCTCTCTGTGGATAACCTGGCACCGGAGACCCAGACCCGGGGAGCCCACAGCCGCCTTGGCATCTCCACAGGGAAGGCTAACAGCACCTCTGACCAGTACAGGCCACCCTGAGCTTGGCCTCCCTGCAGCCCTGTACGTGGCCACAGCCATGCACGGCTATGACAGCCTGCCAGCCTTGGCCCAGCCCCTCAGAGTCGTCTCAGCCACTCCCTGTTTGTCTCACATGCATCCTCTCCTTAAGTCCTGTCGGGGACTCTGCCAACATCTACACCGAATCCTGTGCTTCTCAGTACCCCTATACCACGGCCCCCAGGCCTCCACCCTCAGTTCCTGGGCTAGAGAGAGAAGCTTCTTTCCACTCCCCTCCCTCCCCTAGCCCAGTCTCTACACAGCAGCCATAACTCAGAGCTTGGCTGTCCCCTGATGGCCCCCAGAGGCTCTTAAAACAAAACCCGAATTGCTTCCCCTGGACTGCAAGACCTACGTGCTACCACCCTGCCTGTTCTGCCAGCCTCGCTCCATTCATTTGCTCTCGCTGCCCCTCCTACGTCAACTGCAGATGCACTTGCCTCCTTCCTGCTCCAGGGACAGGGCTTGCTCCCACTGCGGGGCCTTTGCACTGGCTGGCTGTTTCCTCTGCCTTGTACACCACCCCCACATCTTCTCTTGTCTGTGCCTGTGACTCAGGTCTCCTCCTCAGAGAGGCATTTCTTGACCCCTGTTACAAACCTCCCCGCCCCCAACCAGACATCCTCCATCTGTGCTATCCTGTGCTGTGGAGTTTCCAGATCACCTACCACTACACTGTTACCTTGTGAACTTGTTTTCTGCCTTTTGGATTGTTGCCTGTGTTCAGGAGAATGGAAGCCTCTTGTTCCCTGCTGTATTGCTAGAGCCTAGCATGACGCCCGGCATGCAGTAGGTGCTCAGTAAATAGCAGATGAGCGCTTGCAGTGCCTAGGGCCCAGGGTAGGAGCACCACATCCTGGGTGGAGGGCACTGCGGGGCGGAGGCCAGGGTCTCCCCGGGGAGGAGCGGCTCTCCCTGCTTTGTGGGAGCGCCCATGCCTCAGAGGGCCCGGGGTTTTTGAACCACATGCTAACATAAACAATGAGAACATTTCCGGGTCCTTGGAGTGAGGACAATAGGAAAGCAGAACAACATACAACAAAACATGGCCTAGATCAGGTGTATTATTACACTGACACATCCACACAGGACTCTGTAGCTCAAAAGACACCGCCCCGTGCAGTGCAGGCCCCAGGTGTGCCCATTCCTCAGCTGATGAACAGGCCAACGCTCCAGAGGGAGCCAGGGCAGCCGAAGCAGTCTGCAGTCCCAGGCTCCAGGGCTCCTCTGTTGAATGTGTGGCTTTGGAAGGAGGCCCAGTGGATTTAATTTTCTAATAAATTGGAAAATTTGTTTTGTTTTGAGCAAAAGTTTTCCTGAGTCAGCCACCTCCTTCCGCCTGTCTCCAGGGCTGCTGACCCTGCTCTAGCTGCAAAGGCAGAAAGGAAGGGACTCAGCAGGGCCCTCGGACAGTCGAGGGGGCACTGAGAGGGGATGCCTGCCTGCACAGCTCGGGGCTCAGCTTGGGCCCTGGCTTGGGCCCAAGGAAGTCCATCCCAGTTCCTCTTGGCAAAACCAAGCTGTCTGAGCGGCTGTCTTTGTGCCAGCGCCCCCTGCCTTCACTCTTTGTAGTGCACTCTCCTTGGGATGCTGTCCTACCTCCAGCATTTTCTCTCAGGAAGTGTCCCCACTAGGACAGAGCTGGGACCTGCTGCAAGACTCACAGGAGAGAGTGTGGATGCCCCCACTTCCCGACTTGGGTCCAGAGACAAAGTGGGAGATGCAGTAAGAGTGAAAGCTGGCAGGTCAGGGACGCCTGTGACCAGCCGAGTCTGGGATCCCAGGCCACAGGGTTCAGGCTCACGCTGGCCTGGCTCACTCCCCACCCCCGGGTCTGCTTCTTCACCTGAGCGATGGCCTTTGGTGATCATGACCTCAGAGGCTCATGGGAGAGCCAGTGCCACGCATGGGCAGCTTGCCCAGGGAAGGGAGGACCCAGAGCTGCGGGCTGCGCCCACGCCACAGGCCTGCCTGCTTCTCCAACAGCCACTCAGTCACTCGCTGCGGCGGCCGCCACCCCCACTCTGCCTGTTTCGGTTCCTCTTGGCCCAACTGTGGGGCTGCAGGGGTCTGACGCCATGGATGAGGACCCTTGTGACCTGAGCAAGCCAGGCCTCAGCCTCAGCCTAGCCCAAGGTCTCCCTCATCTGCTCCGCATGCTCCCCAGTGCCTGAAAGCCACCACCTCCTGTTGCATTGTCATCCCTGAATTGAGACTAGAAGGGCTATTTAAATGCAAGTAACTCAAGGTGACTACCACGGGGCGCTGAGCGCAGGCTGAGGTGTCTGAGCTCCCTGGGGACTCGGGCCCATGCCAATGGCTCAGTGCCTAATGCGCAAATACTGTGGCTTCTCGTGCTCAGGGGCACAGCTTAGGAACAGAAGCACCCCATCTTCGCTCCCCGTGACCTCACAGTCTGCAAGCGATCCTGAGACTCCAGCTCCAGCCCCGCTGGGGCAGCTGTGACCCCTGGGGACAGGCTATCCTTGGGACTATGGCCCTTGTGACCTCAGCCAGGTCCCCACCCCCTGCTCTGTGAAACAGACCCCAGGCCTACCTTGGTGAAGCCCAGGGCACTTGAGCAGCAGGTGACAGCTGTCTCTCCTGGGAGACTGAGTGTCAGTGTCTCTCCTGCCTGCAGATCCTGAACATGGAAGATGACCAGAACTGGTACAAGGCTGAGCTCCGGGGTGCCGAGGGGTTTATTCCCAAGAACTACATCCGAATCAAGCCCCACCCGTAAGTGGCCATCACCCCAGCCCTGCAACTTCAGGGCACCACCCACCTCCACTCCCACTGCCAGATGTCCCCACCTAGTGTACCCCCAGTCATAAAACCTCATTCCCAGGCCCTATCCATCTCTCTGGGGCCCTGGACTCTACCCCAAGCTGGGGATATGGGGTGGAGGTTGAGGGCTTGTCTAAAATGGTGGCAGGGTCGGGGCCAGCCCAGGATGCGAGACTGCGGACTGAACACTAGAGAATGCCCGGGAGAGCACTGGACAGGAGGGCCCCTGGCTCTCAGCCATCTGGGCTGCTGCTTGGGGGGTGGCTCTGGGCAGGGCCTGCTGCCCCTGTTCCTCAGGTCCCCTTTTGAAGCACAGGGAGGGCTGAGGCCCCCATCTCTGGGGGAGTCTGGAGATCTCTCCAAGAGGCTGACTCAGCCCTGCGTTGAGGCGATGGGGGGTGGGAGGGGGGGTCCGGTGGCAGTGAAATGGTGGAGGGGAGAGCCCTGCCTTTGGGGCACAGGGGAGAGCTGGACATTGGCCAGGCAGGGTCTGGGATGAGGGCACGGTGGCAGTTCTGTTTGGGTCTTCAGTGCGCACAGCCTGGGACCTGCTGGCCCAGGGAAGCCCCCAGTCAAGCTGTCCATAGGCAGCACCCAACGCCACTGCCCTGAGACCTGGGGGGGGGGGTCTAAGGATACAAGAATCTATGGAAAACCCACCACATATGCTTGAAATAATAGCTGGGGTACCTTCAACATACAGCTGCTCCAAGCCACTCACTACAAGCTAGCCATAGTCCCAGGGGCCAAGCCAGGACCCAGCTGGGGACATGTGTGAGAGGCTGGGGTCAGAGCAGCCCTGTCCTGTGGGAGACACAGGTCATAAAGAGAGCACAGCCTGGGAAGGCAGACAGCATGGAGGCACCTAACCGAGGAAGGCTTCTCAGAGGAGGTGGCGAGGAGTGAGGCTTTGACGGACGTGTTGGAGTCAGCTAAAGAGAAAAGAAGAAGGATGTTGCTGGACAGGTAAAGTAGTGAGGAAGAGCCCGTGGCAGTGGGACTGGCAGGAGGGCCCCAAATACCGGGCCCAGGATGGTGGGGAACAATGGAGGCCTCTGAGTTGGGGAGGGAGTCAGTCAGATGTGGAGGCCAGTGACCAGGCCAGGCAGGCTGGGCGGGCCACCTGGGAGCCACGTGCATGTGGCATGTGTGAGTGTGTGTGTGTGTGTGTGTGTGTGTGTGTGAGTGTGTGTGTGTGTGTGGCGGGGGGATGCAGGGCCAGGGTGGGGCCTGAGGGTATGTCCTCTGTATCTGTCTTTGAGTTACTTGCAAAGCTGCCACACCTCGCACTCCACGTACTGGGCAAGGCCCCATCCCACCCAGGGCCCTACCTGCTCTCCCCAGGCTCAGGGTACCCCAGCCTCCCCCACAGAGGCTGTGGCCTCTGGCTGACACCCTGGGCTGCAGCCCTTGGTTCCAGGCCCTGCAGGGTCCCTCCGGGCTGTGCGACGTTAGGCAGGGGCCCAGCTCCCTGGCATCCGCAGGTAGCTGGGGACAGGCAGGGCCATCCCTGGGGGCTGGCCAATTGGCTGGTGCCTCCCGGAGGAAGAAGCGCCCGAGCCAAGACCAGGAGCCTGGAAGGCACGGAGCTGCTGAGGAGCCCTGAGTGCACGAGAAGAAGAGCTGAGGAGCGTGTGTGGTGCTGGGCTGGGCCCATCGGGTTCATGTTGGTGGCTGAGGCAAGAGAACGCTGGGACCGCAGGGGGCTGGGGCGGGTTCCAGGCTGCAGTGCCCCTGGGGTCCCCGAGGTCGGCTCTGGCTGCTCGTATCTGGGACAGAGTGGGAATGGGGGTCAGGGTCTCAACCAACCCACCCGAGGCCATGCTTAATTTTGTCTTTGGGTAACCTCAGTGCTTGCCCTGGCCCCAAAATAGAGGCGGGGAAGTCCCAGCTCGGTGCCTGATTCCACCTCTCAGGCCCCAGGGTGTGAGGAGAGCGTGGGAGATATGGGGGTGCAGGGTTGAGAAGAGGGCTGGGTTTTCGAAAGCCCTGTCCCCACACCAGGCCCACCCTTTCTCTGAGCACCCACTGCCACTATTGCCTGCCCAGGGAGCCCCTGGGCAGGGCATGAAGGCACTTGCTGCAGCTGCATGGCCAGTGAGGGTCAAGGAGGACCACCCAGAGAGAGGGCATGCTCTGCTGGGCCTGCAGAGCAGAAGTGTGCCCGGGAGGGCAGCAGGCGGGTCCAGCCAGAGGTGTGAGGAGGGCTGGGAACCCCCTCGGGTTGGTAGCAGCGGAAACGTTGCACGCAACAGTGCCCTTGTCTTTCCGAGGACCACGGAGGGTCAAGGGGATGGGGGTGGGGTGAGGGGGCATGCGTAACCTGTCCAGGGCCACATGGCTGGCAAAAGGGGGAAGGGGATCTGAAGCCAGTGCTGTGGGCCCCAGGTGGTGCTTGCCAGGGAGGGTGGTGGATCCCTAAAGAGCATCTGGGACTGGGGGGACAGTCCAAGGTCAGGGACATGCTGTGCAACCTTTCAGGGGATCCCTGACCATCTCTGAGCCTCAGTCACCACATCAGTAAAAGGGAGGACAAGGCTAGCTGGCCTCCAGTGGAGTGGCACCAATGGTAGAGAGCTGGGCTGCAGGGCAGCGGGAAATGCTGGCACCACCCAGGGAGGAGCCCTGGGAGGACCAGCCCTGTCTCCCTCTGGTGGGGGTGGGGGGGCTTCCTTGGAGGGTACGGTTGCAACGCCCTTTGAGGATGACAGCCAACCACACACCGACACCTCCTGTGGGGTTCTGTGGGTTCTTTGGAGACATGCAGGTCCTCAGAAACCACCCACATGGAGCCCTGTTGGGCCCCTGCTCCCAGTGCAGTCTCGGCCCTGTGTGCTGCTGGGGCTCCGGGCACAGGCGCTACCTCCCAGGCCCACACAAGCCTGGGAGCTCAGAGCACACAGCTCAGCCTCCTGCCGGCCAGGAGCCTGTGCCTGGGCCTCCCAAACTCTGGAGCCCAGGCCGAGCACTCCAGGAGGTTGCCTTGGTTCCCCGAACTCAGCAACAGCAACCCCCTTGGCTGGTGCTCCTCCTAGGGTCACCCACTGTGAGATGGGCCCAGGGTCCCCACCTGTTTGGAGACAGCGTTTGGCTGGAACTTCACTTCTGAGGGTATGGGCTCCTGCAGAAGCAGCACCTGAGACCTGATTTGAGGACAGGGACTTTACTTGGGAGACAGAAGTGAGCCGGGAAGGAGCCAACAGGGAGTGTTAGTGACCAGACTGCTGGGAGACAGCAGGGGCACTCAGAGTATTGGTGGGGGGGCTGGCTATTTATCCACCTGCTCCTCCAGTCATCACCTGAGAATGTGCCAGGGGCTCAACACACAGGCCAGGCACATTAGTCACCAGAAACAAACAGGCCTTGGGCAGGGTCCCCAGGGTTTTTGTCAACAGGGTCATGTAAGGCACAAATGGGGAGGGGTACGGGGGACCCCACCAGGGGTCCTGCCCTACCTGATGTGATGTCCTCTGCTCTCAGCTCGAGGCCATGTCCACATCCTGAGATGGCAGAAAACCTGCCACTTTACACCTGTCCCCAGGGCAAAGCTCAGATTCATTACACAGTTGCTGAAAGTAGGTGGGGAAACATGGAAGGGAAACATGGAAGGGAATGGAGGAGCCAGGCCTGCCCTTTATGGGGACTTTGGCTGCTCTGGGCCTTCGTTCCTGCCGCCCCCCCTGTCCCAGGTGGAAACCCTGGGGCTGAGAAGCCAGTCAGAGACCACCAGGATCCTCGGAGGGTGGGCGTGGCCCAAATCAGCAGGGGCTGGGGTAGGGGTGAGGAGATGCCTAGAGCCATGCCACCAGGGGTGCAGGGCTGAAGGGGAAGCAGGGTCCCAGGCTTTCACTCCCAGACCCGGGGGTGGTGGCAGTCTTGCAAGACTCCAAGCATTTATCAGTTACCTTCTGTATACCTAGTTCTGTCTGGTCAGCAGGAAAAGACTTGGAAGTGTGAGGAAAAAGTCCAGGTGGCCTCAGCCTATGCATCTGTAAGATAGTTATTGGGTGAGATCCTTCATCACCAGATCAAAGCTGCTATTGTTTTTGTCATTGTTTGTTTCTTTCTGTTTTCCACTTTTAAGTCTCTATCATCTAAAATGGAAAAGCTCAGCTGGGGTTGTCTGGGGGGAAGTTCCCATTGGCTTGCTAGCTATTTCTGTTTTCCTAATAGTACATTTGCCTAGTGTGGTGGGAAAAAATTGGGCTCTGGAGCCAAATGCTGGGGTTGGGTCCTCGCTTCTGCCTGCTGCAGCACATGACCTTGGGCTCATTGCTTCGCCTCTGTGTTATTCAGGTTCCTCACCTGTGAAATGGGGGCAATCATATCTCTGGCGTTCCGGGACCATCCTGAGGGGCAGCCATGTTGAGCATCTGGGCACAGAGAAGGCAGCCCTGCCTCCCCACGGCCCTCACCTGTCCCTCTCTCTGCAGGTGGTACTCGGGCAGGATTTCCAGGCAGCTGGCTGAAGAGATTCTGATGAAGCGAAACTTCCTGGGGGCCTTTCTGATCCGGGAGAGCGAGAGCTCCCCAGGGGAGTTCTCCATCTCTGTGAAGTGAGTGGTGACCGCGGCAGGGGGTGGGGCAAGGAGGCCAGACCGGGACATCTGAGCTGAATTTCCAAGCAAGCAGCAGGCTCACAGGTTGGGGTGGCAAGAACAGCAACCCTAGAGAGGCAGAGCTCCACAAATGCCTGGAAGCAGGTTAGAGGACACGCGCCCCAGGTTGCAGCCCAGAGCAGTAAAGGCGTGCTTGGAAAGCAGGCTCGGGCTGCATGCCAGGCCTCAGGTGCCAGGCTGGGGGTTCTGGACATTATTCAGGACCAGTAGGGAGCCATTACAGATTCATCATTGAAAAAGAAAAGAAAAAAGACTAAAAGAGAAAAAGAAAAAAAGAAAAGATTAGTCACCAGGGAGGAAGGAAGGTGCTGGCGGTTTTCCTGTCCCCAGGGACTGGAGGCCGGAGACACAAAGGCACTAGGGCGGGTTTTCAGGATGTACCTGTCACAGGGCCCCACTCTAGAGGGACGCAGGTGAGAGGATGGACCCTGGGGCCAGGCTGCTTGGGTTCAGATTCTGACTCTGCCACTTCCTGTCTGTGTAACGTTGGACAAATCACCTAACCTCTCTGTGCCTGCCTCAGGTTGCCCCTGTGCAGGTGGCAACCCACACGTTTGGGAAACAGATGTTTGCCTGGGTCTTTAACAAGGGGGCCTGGAGAGGGCTTGGTCAAAGGGCCAACCTGGGTTCCTGTCTGTCTGTCACACCTCTCTGTGCGAAACTGTACTCATCTGCAGTGGCTGCCCACTTCCTGGAACAGGTCTTCTGTCTAAGATCTTTTAAGCAGTTCGAGGGAATGTCAAAGGCTCCCCCTGAGTCTTTTGTTTCTTAAAAATAACCCCTTAAAACAATTGCTCTCCCGAGGAGGCACGCTTGGCGGCGATGGTGTTTGCTCCCTTTTGCCAGATCAGCAGGGTGAGATGCCTAAATCCGAGGGATACCCCTGCAGCGCTGTGCCCTGTGCCATGCTACCTAGGGGCTGGGGAAATGACAATGGGAAATCCATCACTGCTGCCCTTGTGGGTGTATGTCTTAGCTGGGGAGACGGTGGACAGAAAACATGTGAATTTAGGGATGGCCTGTCTGAGGAGGTGGCATCTATGGAACCAGAGAGGGAAGCTGCCCAGGTCCCCAGAAAGGAGGACCTGGGAGGAGGGCCTTCCACACAGGGAACAGCAGGTGCAGAGGCCCTGAGGCAGGAAGGTGCTCGGGATGGGGGGGTGGGGCATGACCCTGACAAGGAGGTCCGGTTTATCTCAGCCAATAGGGAGCCATGGGAAGGTTTTGGGCAGCAGGTATGATCAGCTTCCCTTTCTCAGCCAACACCCCTGGCTGCTGGGAGAAGCAGCAGGGGTGCTGGGAGGCTGGCAAGGACCCAGGAGGAGGGGATGGCACTGGGGACCATAGTAGGGGCTGGGGGACAAAAAGTGGCTGGGCTGGGGAAGTGGCATATGTCTGTGAAGTGGGAACCACCAAAGCAACTGTCAGGACTGCTGCGAGCAAGGCACCGAGGCCGCGTGGAGGGGGCGTGCTGTGCCAGCCTTGATAGTGCCAAGGGCAGTGCTGAGGTAGCCAGGCTGCCACTGGGAGGAAGGACAAGTGGCGCATCTGGGATCTCAGCAGTGTGGCTTCTGGTGGCAGTGGCTGCCAGTGATTGTGTGGCTCATGCCAATGGCTTGAGGTTTTGCCAAAGGACAGAAAAATGGTGGATTCCTCTGGGGCTAGGGGGTGGGGGCGGGGTCACGGGAGGCCCAGTGCAGCAGAGAAAGACAGACTTGGTCAGGGAGTGTCCATGGTAACCTTGGCAACTCCAAAGAGACTGGGCTGCGATGGCCCACGTGAGGCTCCTTTCTGCAGAGGTGTAGCCCAGGCTGACACCTCCCAGCTCCCACAGGCCCTGCTGTGAGCTCTGGGACTTTTACTATGCTTGCTGCTCCTGTCTGTAAGGAGCGCATGGTGGGGTGTGATCAGCAGCCTGGGACCCCGAGAGGTGGCCGTCTCCCTGTCTAGGCTGGCGGGCACCCACGTGGGAGACAACCATGCTCAGCTTGATGCCCTCCACACTGTGTAAACCAGCTGTCGGCTTTCTTCACTTCCCTTTCCCCCCTTGGAAACAGTCCGTTTGTCCAGAGTGACAGGAGAGGCTCTGACCCTCTTTGAGCCTCTGCTTCTCAATCTTAAAAATGGGAGCACTGTAGTTGAGGGCTGGGGGTCACTGTGAGCTCTTGGCCCCGACTCCCTTCCAGAAGGATTGTGGGGTTCTTGAGAGCCCCTGTCACCTTCCCACTGCCCAAGCCCAACCCCCACTTCCCACCCTGTTCCCTGCAAAAGCAGGAAACAGTCATTCTTCTCATGCCGGCTGTCCAGGTCCTCTCCTGCAAATGGCACCCACCAGCTGGGCCGGGCTGGCTGTGCATGGCTCCTGGAATCAGCTGCAAAGCCCAAGGCCACCCAGCAAAGCACGGGCACAGGGGCGTCACTGGACTGGCTTCTGGAGCCTGAGCTAATTAAGGGGCTGTGGTGGCCACCACCCCACCACCAACTCTCCCACCTCTGCTAGCAAACCCAAGTGCTTAAACTTCTCCATTAGTGCCTACTGCACTGCCCCCTCCTGGCATCTCTCTGTAAGTGCAGCCAAGCCCACCCACGTGTTCAGGTTCAGACCCAAACCTTTCCACCTACTTATTGTATGTCTAGCAAGAAGGGGCAGCACAGGAAGTGGAGTGGCCCAAGGAGTGTGGTGAGGACACAGGCACAGCCTGGCCCAGGGGGTTTGCAAAGAGTGAATGAGTATGGAACTTTTGGTGACAGTGGTTGCCTTCCACACGGTGAAGGGGGTGACGTCAGAACTGGACCCTGAAGCCTGAGTGGAAGTTTGGAGTACAAAGCAGGAGAGGCTGTGCCAGGTGCAGGAAGAGCCTGTGCAAAGGCGGGCCAGCGAGGGGCAGGCTGACCAGGGGGGAGATGGGCCATACTAGGGAGCCATTTTCGAGTGGGGAGCCAGCACCAGCATTGTCCTGGGACAGGGTCTGGGAGTGTCCCTCAGAGACATCCTTGCACATGCCCCTCGGCACCTCCCTCAAGGCTTCCTGGCGGAGACCCCTGAGGTGAGAACCAGCAGGAGCTTCCTGGGCCCTGGGCCAGTTCATGCACAGCCCCTCCAGGCGGCTCCCTCCACCCGTTTGGTCCCAGCCGGGCCAGGGCTCCACCACCTCTCTCCCGGGGACCTCCCGCTGGTCCTTGGAGGGCAGCTGGACAGCGACTACAGTAGGACGCTGACACTCAGAGAACCTAGGTGGCTAGGAGTATGGGCTTCTGAGCAAGAACCCTGGGCAAGTCACCTCTGAACCTCATTTCCTTGCCTGTGAAATGGACAGCTATGGAACGTGTGATACCTGGCCCAGAGCAAGTGCTGCACAAGTGCCAGTTACAGCAGTTATTGGTCCAGTGACCCTCCGAGGGCCACAGTGCCCCCTGGCCCTGGGCCATGGCTCAAGGCAGAGGGAGCCTGGTACTTGCCCTGGTTTTCCTCGGACCTGCTGTGAACTTCCTGGCAGCTCCCCCTCGCTCCCTCTTGACAGTACTCTACCTTCTATATCATGGAGACAGGGCCTGAGGGCCGTCCAGATGGCTGTGCAGGCCGTGCAGTTCCACCTCTCCGGCGTGCCTCTGGGGCCCCCCCCATGCCATGCCTAGCCTCTCCTGTAAGTTCATGCCAAGCCCCATAAAGCTGTTGGAAGTGGAGCTTACATCCTCATAGGGCAACAGTGGCCACAGCTGGTGGGCCCTTTCCCGTTTACAGAGGGCCGTCTCCTCTGACTCCAGGAGCACACCTGTGTGGGCCAGGCGCCTGCAGTGTGTGCCTTTTGCCCCCTGCTGCAGTCCAGGCTGCTGGGCAGCCCTCTGCTGTAAATGGCAGTTTGTTCCCAAGTGAGGTGTTTTGCCTCCTGCCAAGCTAGAGGTTACTTGGATTCAGTGCATGTGCTGGCTCCCCCCTCCCCCCCCCGCTCGCTGAGCACCTACCATGTGCCAGGCTCTATTCTAGATGCTTGGGATTCAGCTACAAACAAAATAGGATAAAGCTCCCTGTTCTTTAGGCTCTCATGTTCTCCTGGGGCAACAGACAATGAATGGCTAGTGAACCATACAAAATCTTGGAAGATGATAAAGGTCCTTAGGAAAATGAAGCAAGAAAGAAGTGGGGGACACAACTTACTCATGCAAAGACAGGGAGGAAGTAATCCCAGAAACACAGTTCACAGGGAAACAAAAATAGAACAAACTGAAGCTAAGAGAGGTGTAGCAATTTGTTCTTGATCCCACAGCAAAGAATAGCAGGGCCGGCGCCCACTGACCCTCTGTGCCCCGTTAGGCTTGGTCTACCCTTCCTGCCCTCTCCCCTGAGCCCCAAAGACCCTGGAGGAGTCCATCTGCCCAGCCCCTCCCAAGGTCCATTTGCTTCTGTTTCATGGCTGCTGTGGTACAGGCACCACCCCCTCCTTTTGCACAGATAAGAAAACTGAGGCTAGAGAAGGGCCCTGCCTAATGGAGACCGTGCAGTGAGCAGTTGGCACCCAGGCCCCTTGCCCAGGGCTGTCCCAGGCTCCTGACCTTACCCTAGCCTCGTCTGATCCTCTCTGGGCTGCCATTGCCACCTTTGCTGCTGCCACCATCAAGCAGAAAAACCTGCTGGGCAGGACCAGTATCAGGCCTGACTTGATTCTTTGGGCTTTCTCCACAGCCCGGGAGCCAAGCCCAGCCCCCTTCCCGCTGTCGGCAGGTCTGAGGGTCTCACACAGAGACAGATGCAGCCCTAGCTGCTCAGAAAGGGAACACAGACAGACCCAGCAGCGCAGGAAGAGAGGCACATGCGCACACCAGACCCACGGTACACATGGGCTAGGCCACAGGTACACATGTCCTGGGCACTGTCCGCTGTCCTGGGCCCCTCCTTCGGCCATGACCAGGCTCACACCTGCTCTGGGCTGCACTTCCCTGTTCCAGCTCAGGAGGGGCTCACCCAGCAGGGCTGTCTGCTTTCAAGCCATTCCTCCTAGTTCAGGGGTCACCTGCACTCAGGTTCAGTTCCCCTGCTACCCTGCTCTTCCCCTGGGCCCAGGGGAGGCAGATCTGGAGAATTCCCAGAGGACAACCCCAGCCTGAGGTGTTCTCAGCTGCCTCAAAACATGGCCAAGACCCAGCCCAGGCAGAACAAAAAGAAAAACCTTCCTGGTGAAAGTCACCGTTGAGGCCTAGGGCATCTGAAAGACAGGCTGGCTCAGCGAGACTGCCAGGGAGAGGGATGGGCGCAGCGTCGGGGGCCGGCCCGGCAGCGGTGTCTCCAGCACAGCCACCTGGGGCCGCAGGCAGAGCTCACTGTAGAATAGGAGGTTTGGACCAGGTAGGAGAGGGGACGGGCCCTGCCTTTTACTGAGTACTGTGCACAGACTTGTGGCCGGAACCGGCGAGCTGCCCAGTGTGAGAATTCTTGAATTCTCAGATCCGGGTGTCTGGCGTGAGGTCCATTGTGAGCGGCCGGTCTCAAGAAGGCTGCACAAGGGCTGAGGAGCCCACAAAGCCCCCAACTCTGGCAGAGGCAGCTCTCAGAGGCTGGGCCATTTCCCCTGGGCCTTGAAGTGTGAGTACAAGTTTGACCCTAGGAGAATTTAGAGGAAATGATATATACAAAGCCTGGAGGTATGTTTAAAAGTAGAGAGAGGTTCTGTGTGATTTGGAGCCCTTGACTTGGGCTAAGTCGGGGATCCCACTTTGCTCTCTGCCCCCCAAACTGGGGGGGGGGGTGGTGTTTACCTTAAACAACTCTTTGTCTTAAATCTTTAAACTTTGAACAAAGCAGCACAAAGGTGCAGGACCATAGGCAGAAGAAGTGGGCAGCAATCAGGGGTGGGACAGACACTAGACACCACTCCTGCAGGGCCCGTAGACACGCAGGCTGTGGGCCTGCCCAGAACTCAGGCTGCCGACTAACCCTGGCTTGTGAACACACTGTGTCCAAAATCATTTAACAGAATTTAAATTTAGAACCGTAGAGGTGTTTTTTCTTTTTGCTATCAAGTTCCCAGACTAGTGTTGAGTTCTCATTTAGTCCCAAATAGAACGAACACAGCCTGTGGCCCAGGAGGCCAAGGAGCCACTTCCCCCGAGGAGCCCTCCCCTCTCCCCAGCACACAGACCTAACTGTACCCTTCCCCGCCATCAGCCCCACCAGCCAGCTGGCGCCTGTGGGCAGGTCCCTTAACTGGCTTCTTCCTGGTGGGGACTAGGACTCGTCTGTGTTCCCCCGTGGCTGCCAGCTTGGCCAGGGGGGCTCCCGGCCCCAGGCCTTCCTCACCTCTCTGTGGGGCACATTGGCTCCCACCTCCGCTGGGCAGGTGTAGACCCTGGCCCAGCTGACTGTGGCGCTGGGAAGGGCGCCTCCACGGTGGCCAGGCAGAGCGGGAGGCCCCTGGGGAGTCAGGGCCCAGGGAACAACACGGAGGAGTGAGAATGGACTCAGGATGACAACGTTTGGGACGTGATAGGTATCCCAGCTGGTATCAGTGTTGATGGCTGTTCTTATACGGTGAACCACTGGTCAGGGAGCCCTTGAGAGTGACACTCGACCTGCAGGAGCTCGGCGGTGGCCTTTGCTGCTGCATGGCTCTGGGCGGGGCCTGGCTGCCCTCAGGGCCTCCATTTCCCCACTGTGAAAGGGGCCTGATATGCTCATGCCCGCTCCACCCCACCCCAAGTGGTAGGCCTGGCCACCCCTGTCACAGGGAGGGGTCGCTGTGGCTGTGTGGCCCATGGTCCTGACAAATACCAGTACCACCTCCGGCCTCTGGCTGCAGGGCCTGCCCTGGTGTGGGACCTGCCTCATATGGAAAGCACCAGGCAGGTCCCTCTGCCCAAGCCAAGCCAGAGCAGGTCCCACCCCTCTGGCTGGTTTGGGAGAGGCAGGCTGCCCCCTCAGCTGAGCTGGAAGGTGTTCGCCAGGATTTAGTGGTCGTGGGTCAGAAGGCCAGGCAAAGGCTGGGAGACGAGAAAGGGACTCACTGGTTGCATTAGAGTGTGCATTAAAGCAATGAGGCTGGATGTGTAATCAGAGCCAGATCTTAAGTCTGAGGCGTTAAAGTTTTATCCCTAGGGTAATGGGGAGCCATAGAAGGTTCTTGAGGTGGTTGTGGGTGAGAAGGACACGAGGCCTCCAACATGCCTAAGCTCCTCTCACACCAAGTCAGGTGGTCTTGGGATTCACTCCTCAAGGGACTACAAGGGCTGGGTGGGGGGAGGGGAGGGAGAAGAGTGTGCAGGTGAGGGGGAAGCTGGGGATGCTGTCTGGTCACCTCTTTCAGAGAAACCCACTTACTGCTGCTGATAAACAACACTCAGCACTTTCTGAACACTTTCACAGAGAGAGGTGTTATGAGGAAACTGAGGTTCAGAGAAATTGAGTGATTTGCCTAAAGTCGCACAGCAAGAAAGAGGCCTGGTCCAGGGTCCAAACCATTAACTCCGTATGCCACGGCCAGGGGGTGCTCACCAGGTCTCAGCGGAGCCAGGTCAGGGGGCCTGGAACTGTCCCCGCTCCCAGCACCTCTTCCTCACTCACCAGATCTCACCAGGAGAGAGAAAGGCCTGGCTCCAAATACTGGTGAGCAGGGAAGGCCCAGGGCCAGGCCGGGAGGGGAGATGTCCCTGGCCGCTGGGGGCCGTCTGAGGTGACTGGAGGCCCTTTCCCCCAGCTACGGAGACCAGGTCCAACACTTCAAGGTGTTGCGAGAGGCCTCTGGGAAGTACTTCCTGTGGGAAGAGAAGTTCAACTCCCTCAATGAGCTGGTCGACTTCTATCACACCACCACCATCGCCAAGAAGCGGCAGGTCTTCCTGCGAGATGAGGAGCCCCCACTCAAGGTAGGCGGACAGGGACAGGGCGGTGGGTGCCTGCGGTCACCGCCACTGGGCCATCCCAGGGTGAGGACGCCTGGTGGGGCCTGACACGGGCCAGCCTCCCTTCCCCCGGCAGCCCAGGCTGTGGGAGGAGGGTCCGACCCGGGCTGTGCAGTTCTGTTCTCGTGGCCCAGCAGTGAAGCGAGGGTGGAGAGGAGAAGAGGGGAAGAAGAGGAAGGAACAGGATGAAAATCCCATGGGACAAATCGTGGCCGGGTAGTGCACAGCACACAGTAGGTACTCAGTGAATGTCGAAGGAAGGTACTGACACCCACTGAGCCTGCTGAGGGACGTGCGATGAACTGGGTTTTGTACACTGGGAGCATTACTGTCCCTGTGGTGTGGGTGAGGAAACTGAGGCTTGGATGTGATGCGACCCAACTAAGACTGCCAGCCAGACAGGCCCAGTCCTGCTGTCTTCTCCCAAGGTGCCAGCCATGGGTGGGGCGTGGGGCGGTAAGGGTGAGGCCCTGGCCAGACACAGGGTGTGTATGTGTGTGCGAGGGGCAGCCACCCTTGTCCTCAGAACAGCAGCAATTTGCCAGCCAGCTCTTTCATCAGGGGCCCCTGGACCAGCTCTCATTAGGGTGACGACAGCAGCTAATGGGGCTATTAACCCTAATGTGCTATTTTCCTTGGGAGGGGATGTTGGCCAGGCCCGGGGCTGGAGGTCAGGGCCAGCCGGCCCTTGGCTGTGAAGAGGGTATGGGGAGCATGGCCACAGAACAAGGAGCTGCTGACGGAAAGCTGCGGGGCCTCCCATCCTGCCCTGCTCCTAGACCCCAGCTGCCTCACCACATGTGACCTTGGGCCAGTCGACAGGACTCAGTTTCTTCTCTGTCTGACAGGATGAGCCCTGGGGTCCGATATTCCAGGAAAGTCAAACAGTGCTTCAGGAGACCCCCACTGGTGCACACTCTGGCCCAGCAGGGGATTCAGCCCCCGGGGCCGGACCCTGGGGGCCAGGCCAGATGTGAGCTCTCCTCTGGGCTTCCATATCCCAGACCTCCCTCCCCTGCCCCTTGCTGCCTGGGTAAGCTCTGACCTTGAAGAGTGAGGGAACCAGGATGGAGCCGGGGGCTGCCTGAGGGCTCCCCCACACCTGCCACTTCACTCCGGCCCAGCCTGGGATCGCCCGCCCTCTGGGAAGACTCCAGAGCTGGCTCAGTGTCTTGGGGCCCATACCACCTCCTCCTTCCTGAGCAGAGAACCAGCAATTACAGCCTGCCCACTGATCCTATCGGCTGTCCTGGGTGAGATTCCAAAGGCTCAGAGCAGAAATCCTGGTGAGCAAGGCAGCTCCTGGGGGAGCTGGGCACAGCTGCCGCGGCGTCAGCCTGGCACGCCCGCACAGAGCTCTTGTCCCAGTGCCCTTCGCAGGTGGGAAAACTGAGGGACTTGACCACAGCCCCTCACGAAGCCCAGGATTCAGGGCCCAGCTAAGCCACCAGGATAGTCGGATCGTTCCCTGTAGACCACAGGCAGCAGCGGGAGGCCCATGGGTGGCGGCCCTCACCTGGCTTTGGTGGCACAAGCACATCCAACCTCAGTTCTGCCCCAAACACCCTGCCCTCCTCAAGATGAGGCAAACCTCCGCTGGGGCCCCCTGGGGGTGCCCACTGACGGCTCCCTCCCTCCGCAGGCAGCCCGGGCCCGCTTTGCCCAGGCGCAGTTCGACTTCTCCGCGCAGGACTCCTCACAGCTCAGCTTCCGCCGTGGTGATGTCATCGAGGTCCTGGAGCACCTGGACCCCCACTGGTGGCGAGGCCGGTTCTGCGGGCACATAGGTTTCTTCCCACGGAGCTACGTCCAGCCTGTGCACCTCTGACCAGAGTGGGACCCAGGGGACGGAGTTGGCAGACGGTCTTTCCACCAAAGTCCAACAGAAACCATGCACACCCCTACCAGGTCCTACAGGGCTCAGCCAAGGGCCTTGGACAGGAACCTGGGCCTCTAAGTGCCCCGTCCAGACCCCACTGCTCCACATGAACTGGGCTGCCCCCAGCTGCCCACCACCAGCGTGGTGTTCAGCGCCCACCAGGCAGGGGGAGCTCCCAGAGTTCCTACTGGTCGCCAGCTTCATGACATAATAGGGTGGGCTGGCCAAGGCCCCGCCCACTACAACCTTCAATGGCCCCCATCCTCAGAGACGGTTCAGGGCGCCCAGGTTCCTCACATTAGGGGCTCAACCCAAGGCTTGGGTGTGTTCACCTTAAACTGACCAGTCACTGGGCCTGCCTGCCCCTCCCTCAAAAGGACCCTTGAAGTGCTGCTACTAGGGGACACTTGGGGACATCCAAGTGCTGCTTGGATGTGAGAGACAGGCGAGGGTACCTGTTGGACTCCACTGAGTACCTATTGGCCTGGACTCGGTGGACAGACTCCAAGTGGACAATGACTTTTCCACAGTCCCATGACAACTCCAGGCTCCACGGGGGCATCTGACGCCCCACCCACTGCAGACACTTTGGGGAGGGCTGGAGTCCCTGAGGAAGAGGCCTCAGTGGTGAGAGAAATGGAGGCAGCCGCTCCTCTCAGAATGGACGAGCAGTGAGGGCAAGCCCTGGACATAACCACCTGAGAGGCTGGGTTCAGGCCCAGCTTTTACCCCGACAGACTCCAGGCAGTTTGGGGACTACAGGCCTGGTGGGAAGTAGGGGCTGAGCTGGAGTCTGAAGTCCAGCAGCCCCTAGAATAGGGTGGGCAGTCTGGGTGAGTCCCCAGCTTAAGAAAAGACAAGGGTGTCTGCATCCATTGTGCTCCCAGCAGGGAGGGTGTTACTAAGCGACACCTGCCCAGGGCACCTTTGGGAGCAGGCAGAGTAAGGGGAGCCTGGAAACCACCTTGCATGCCGGGCTGGTGACACGGGGGCAGTGAGCAGGGGAGGGAGGGGAGGCTCCTGTGGCAGCTGGGAGCAGATGGGGTGGGGTGCCCAGGGAGGTGCCTGAGTTGGGGGTTCCCCCCACCCGGGGGTGGCCTGAGACCCTTGGAGCCCTGAGCCCTGGCAGGTTGTACTGCTCCTCACCTAGATCTCGCACTCCAAATAAAACAGCCAGGTAGTGTGAGCACATTCATCAGAAATCTAATTCTCTTTCCACTTATGACTACCATTTTTTAAGTGTCACATTCTTTCCTCCCTGATTTTTCAGGGTTCTGCTTTGCCGGGGGTGGCCAGTCTCTGGCCCTGACCTGGTTGCCATGCAGACGTGAGGGATTCACCCTCTGTGGCCTTGGTGTCCTCACTGGGGAGGGGCCCGAGGCCCTGAGGACGCCCACCTTCCCGCCCAGGGACGCGGTCAGGCAAAGTAAGCATAGAAAAAGATGTTGATGCACATGAGAAGGATGGCGTTGAAGCCACAGACACGGGCCCAGAAAGCATGTTTCTGGGCATCACCTGGAGGGGGTGGGAGAGAAACAGACCAGGGTCACAGGGCCGCACCCAGTGCCACGTTTTTCCCAAGCCCCAGTCCCAGGGCTGGGAGTGAGGGGGAGTGCCTGGGGTCACACGCATACCTGCTTTGGCTCCCAGAAGCAGGTTCGGAGCTAGAGTCCACCAGGTAAGGTTCTGGATCTGCAGGGAATGCACACTGATGGGGCTGTGGCAGGACTGGGGTGGGGTGGGGGTGGGCCCAGACAGGATCAGGGGTCAGGGGTGAAAAAGGACAGCTGAATACAAAAAGGCTCAGGGGCCAGGGTCAGGGCCAGACAGGGGTTGAGGTCAAGAACTAGAAAATTCTTGAGTTGGAGGGTCAGGAGCCAGAATGAGTCAGAACTTGCTAAGGGTCAGGTGTCCACAGTAAGGGCAGGCTTACCTGAGCTTCCTGGGGTGGTGGAGTCAGCAGGCTCCCAGCCACCACCACAGCTCCACTGAGGGCGAAGAGGGCGACAGCAAAGTGTAGGTAGTGGAAACTTCGAAGGATGGCAGGCCGCACATCCGCCTCACCACAGGGTGGGACCGGGTAGAGGAATTCCAGCACCAGCCTTGCGGCACCCACTGCCAGCCCCACCATCAGGCCCCAGAAGGCCCCCTGTGGAGGAGGGGTCAGAGCAGCCAGGCCACGGGAGAAAGGCCGACACCCCGGGCACACACACACACGCACACACACACACACACACACACACGCCACGGCAGGGGCAGAGCTCCACCTGCCCTCCGGCCTTCTCCCCGGCTCTTCTCCCCACCCCACCTGCTCATTGGCACGCCGCCAGAAGATGCCCAAGGTGAAGACTGCAGTCACTGGGGGCGCCAGGGAGCTGGTCACCGACTGCATGTAGATGAAGAGCTGCCCACTGTTGGAGCCCTGCAGGATGGGGATCCAGGCCACGCTGACACCGATGAGCACCACAATGACCAGCCTGTGGGCAGGCCACAAGGGGCTCAGCAGCAGACCCTTCCCTGCCCTACACCCCCCGCCCCTGCTCCCCAACACCTGCTCCCCATCGGTGCCCTGCCTCACAGCTCCAGTCTCCCCCTTGGCCCATGGCCCACTCCTCCCGCGGGAGGCCAGTCCTGCCCTCCCAAACCCTTCCATGAGGCCTCCAGCAGCCTCTTCCCCACCCCACCCTGCCTCCCTCTGGGCAAGGGCCCTCCAACAGCAGAGACACACTTCCTGTGTCCATTAACCTAACTGTTCAACGAGAGCCCACCTGACAACAGGGCGCTGTGCTAGAAGCCCCGTGTCGGTGAACAGCGGGCCCTGGTCAATGCGGAGCCTGCTCCCCTACAGTCAGGGCTGGACTGTGGGAGCCCAGAGGAAGCACCATTCCAGGAGGACTTCTGGAAGGAGTGGGCCCTGGAGCCTTGAAGCAGCAGGCAGCTCAGCTAAAGGGATAGAGCTTGGGCGGAGTGTTCCATCTACTCCTCCCCGGCTGAGCACCCCACCCCTCTGTGTAAGTTGGGTGCCTCCCATCCCTAAAGTGGGTGGTGGATGAGACCCCATGGAACCCTGAGTGGGACAGCAGGGGTGCACCAGGTTGTGTGTGCAACTGGGGTGGGTCCTCCTGAGGCAGGAGGTGAGAAGTTAGGAAAGTTCCTGGGCAAGTGGAATGGGGAAGCTGAGACAAGAAAATTAAACAAGGTTCAACAGTTTGAGCAACTTACAGGCAGCTGGTGAATCCAAAGACCTTACCCTCCCTGACCAAGGACCCTTGAGAGCAAGTGGCTTACACTGCTCCTCCGAGCCCAGAGCACACATGGCCTCCCTGGCCACAAACCACAGGGACCCCAGGAGACAGGAATGCTGGTGCTGACAGACAGGACACAGGAACAAAGGGAGCAAACTTGGGAAGAGGTTGCGCGACTCCCCTTTCAACCCCAACCACCACCACCCTCCCCTCCTAACCCCCCACCCCCGCCGCAATGCTCTCCCTAGGAGTTCCCCCTCCCAAATCCCTGTGGTTCCCCTGTATAAACTTGCTCCTGAGAGCACAAGGGGAAGGTGGGTGTTAGGGTTTTTACCTGCCCCCTTCTCAGCGTGCTGTCCTCTGAGGTTAACAAAGCGCGATTATAACCCAATCCCTGTCTCTGCTTTCTGGAGAAGTGGTGACCAAAGCCCAAGCCTCAGACTCTGCCACCCCCAGATTTCACTCCTTCCTGCCTCCCTCCCTCTTCCCTTTCCTGGCTTCAGGGAGAGGGTGGAGGCAGGAGGGGCCACTTTGATCTGAAGGGTTAAAGCTAATTACCCCTTTGTCTGGCAGGCACGGCACTGCCCTCTTCAAAGGCACAGGCGTCCCCCATGAGCATTTGTCCCACCCCGCCCTCCTCACACGGGCTCCTGGGGTCCACGCCAGACTCAGCATCTCTGTGTGGGTCCTGAGCCTGCCCAGCCCAGCCTGGCACAGGGCCCTTGTCTTCTCGCTGCCCTGTAGGGTTTCTTGTTCAGACTCAGTCACACCTGACTGTCTAAGGGACCCCAAACCTAGAGGCTTTTCCTTATGCCTGGAAGGCCCTTCTCAACTCCTCCCCCAGCAAACTTCCTCACCTTCCAAGGCCCAGCTCAAGGCCTTCCCAAACCCCGCCCCGCCACTATACTGCTGACAGGATGACTGCCCCCCCATGTCGCTCCTAAACTGCAGCCCAAGTTGCAGGGAGCCTCTCGGGCCTGAGGTCAGGGTGGGTTAGGGTCAGGAGTGGACACCCATATTGCCCATCTCAAGGCCGGGAACAAGGGAGGCCTTGGGCATTCTTCTAGAATCACAGAGAATGGAAGACAGAAGGGGTTGGGGGGAGGAAAACAAAGGAGCAGAAGGGTGGGGAGTGGGGCTGGGGCTGGCAACAGCCAGGGTCCTAGACGTAGAGTTGTCACTGTGACATCTCTGGCCACCACCCCCAACCTGATGAGACTGTGGGGCCCCCAGCATGTTCCTGCTGGGCCCTGCCCCCAGAAGGTCTCCTCCCCAGGGTTCTGGTGAGGGGTGCCTTCTGCCCCTTTCTAAGTCCCAGATCTTGAACTGCAGTTCTGCAGACCCAAGACCCCACATGGCCTAGGAAACAGCTTGAACCAGGTTCTCAGGCAAGAGGAGACTGGAGGGCTGAGGTGTATCCCAGTGCTTCAGGAAGGAGGTGTGGGAGAGCTGAACCCTTGGTACTGCACCCTTTCCACTCTGCCAAACTGGCAGATGAGAGAAGTGGGACTCAGAGAGGGGGAGCCCTTGGTCCACACAGGCTTGCACCAGGAGAAGGATGGCAGGGTGGAAGGAGGGTGGGATGGGCAGCAGGAAGGCGGGCTGGTCCCAATTTACAGGACTGCTGAGCATGGAACAGCTTTGGGAGAAGCCTGTCAGTAGGGATGGGCTCCAGGAAGGAGCCGTGAAGGCAGGAAGCCACAGGCTGGGGAGGGGTGGTCCCTGGAGGATGCCGACGCTGAGGCTGAGCCTCCTGCCAGGTAGGAGGGAGGATCCTTGTTTTGGAGGCTGCAGATGAGATCACACCCGCCCTCTGAAGGCGTGTCCCAGCAGGGCCCTTCTGACAGAAGCAGGCTGCTTTGCATCACTGGGACACTGCCTATAGCTCTGGGGGAGATCCCCCTGTCCCCACCGATGGGTGCTGTGGGCTCCTGGGAGGAGGGCGCACTGTTGGCCAGGCTAAGCCCTGAAAGGCTGAACTTCTCGACAAGCAGAGGAGGGGCCACGTGGCTCAGTGGAAGACAGAAGAGGAGGGTCCCAGGAAAGGGCCCAGTCAGACACATGTACACACCCGAAGACCAGCTCCTCATCAACCATTGCTGAGTTCACCGCAAAGGACTCCCGGTACCTGGCCAAGCATGGTGCCAGAGGGCTGTGCCAGACAGTCCCCGCCTGCTCCTGCAGCCAGGCAGGGCACAGGGAAGACATTGGACCTATTAAGGGGCCACAAGTGCTGTGAAGGAACCTGGCAATAGTCCCCTGTGAGAGCCATGGAGGGGAGAGGAGCACATTCCTTGGTTAGCAGGATCGGGCAGGATTGAAAAGGGGACTTGGAATGAGTCATGGAGGTAACAAAGAGGGGACAGCAGGCCTAGCAGGAAATGGACAGAAGCTCAGTGAGGCCACAGGTACCGGGGCCTGAGTGTGGTCATTCCTGAGTTCTGGCTTGAGGCCCTCTCTGAAGCAGATGGGGATCGTCAGGAAGGCTCAGGGCTCAGGTTTGGGGAAGAAGAACGATCACTGGGATGGTTGGGAGAGGGGACTCCCCCTCAAAGGCTCTGTTCCAGGTAAGAGGTACACCCACGAAGAGGTCTGGGGCTGTGAAGGAGTGGCCAGAGGAGCAGTGCGGGAGGTGGGATGGGCGAGATATTCTGGCCTCCTCTCTCCTTCCCAGCATCCTCTTGTTCATCTCTTAAAGTCCACTTCTGGTGGGGCCCAGGCCCCACGGGCTCGTCGTGTGGCTGGGAAACCTCTGAGCCCCTCCTGGTGCCAGCACCCACCCAGCGTACCGTCCCACCAGCAGTAGCTCCCGTTCGCCTGCCTGGGGCCGCACCCGCCTCCAGATGTCCATGGTGAAGAGTGTGCTGCTGCTATTAAAAATGGAGGTCAGTGACGACATGAGCGCAGCCATCATCACTGCGACCATCAGT